GTGGATATTTGGAGCGAGCGGGTCTTAAGAGCGAGCGGCAATTGCCGATCATGGCTCATCAGCTGCAAGATCACGCTGATGTGATAATCTAACCGCTGTGACACTAATCGGTCACAATCTTCCTATTGCGTCTCGCCTGTGCGTCCTAGACTTCACCACCACGCCATGCTGTTCATCGTGCACGCCTCCTTGCCAATCCAGACCCATCGCACTGCTTTTGCCATTGGTCGTGACTACGTCCGTCCACAATGTGCGGAACATCGCGTAAATGTTTTGTCCGTGTGCGTGCACCCACCATTTCGCTCTAGGTGACATCTGGCTGTCATCCCGGATACATTGGTATATTGAGTCTAATTACATGCCGTGTGCAACGTTTTCTTGAACTAACATTACCGTGAAGCTCAGTGCGCTCAGCTGGCCAATTTCGGCGACCACGAGCCATTATGGGAATTGCACCAGTAATGTGTATCATTTCTACACCGCCTTTCAATATTTATAATGAGCCTCAACCATAGAGGCATGCTCTGATGACTTTCTGAGCACACCACTCTCACCACACTCTGCTCAACGTGGGCATAGCCTCCATCTCGTTCTTTGGGCTGTGCTTCTATTCTACTCTTGCCACCTTCTTCTGCTTCTCTACCCGCTTGCGGCGATCGAACAATCTTCGGCCCGAGAAAGGCCAGCGTTCTATTCTCCTGAATCGTCCGTGCTGTGTAAGCTCTCGGCGAAATTTGCACTGCTCCACTGTGCGTCTTCTGTCCCTGACCTCGTACCTCCCATCACGGCAGTCGTCCAGCCTATGGTACATGCGAGGCAAGCCATCTCCAGCTCCAGGATCATAGGAGCAGTCGGGCTCCATCGGCACATACGCTCCGGAGGAACGTAGGCCACTGCAATGGGATCGTCTTGACCTCAAAAAGGAACAACGCTTGCGGTGCTTCCATTCTCTGGCCTGGTCGCCTACGTTGAGTTCGTGGCACCCGCTAGTTGTCTCCATCCGCGTCGAATCTGGCCCTCTGCAATGTGTATCATGTTTCACGGTGACAGCCCAGCGCTCTGATCATGAGTTCCGCCTGACGCACAGAGGGATCCGGGCAGCCACCATGCCTTTGTGGCGGACCTGTACCTCGATTTCATCCTCTGTATGATCGGTGTGGTGTATCCGGCAATATCGTCAGTGCCCTGGATCTGATCAGACGCTGCTGATGCTCAAGGTCTCAACCTGTGCCAGATGCGTCCTCCCTGGCCAGATTGTCGAGTTGTCGAGTTGGCATTGGCAGTTATTGACTTCTTTAAGCTATCAATATCGGTTCATATCCAGATTCACCTCGCAGACAGACCTGGCGGCGCAAATGCAACATCTTTGAAGTCCTCGAGTTGAGACTTAGACACCATGGTGGACCAACTACTTGGTTAGGGCATCACAAACTAGGTACTGGAGGTATGGAGAAGATTTCGATATCTAGCTCTTCATCAGCCGCTGGTGTACTGATGACAGATACTACTTAGTGCCGTAAGTACTTGCCATCTAAATTCCGGATGCTTCACTGATTAATGACTGGCTTTTGAGATTTTAGGTCAGTCTTTACGGCATTGCGTTGGGTTGATAGCATAGCCCAGCCCCGGGATATGTTTGGAATTGATGGTCGGTATAGATGGAACAATTGTGTGGCTCCCGCTGTATTAATAGGTGCTGCTGGACTTGCATGTGCGTCTCCCGAAAAGTGTGGGTAAATTTTCTTGTAGGTCCTTGTTCGACTCCCGCGAGCGTCGCAACGGAGGGACCGGATCTCGCGCTGCTAAAGTCGCCCACTAGAATGCGCCTGCAGCCCGTTCAGGTACAGGAAGATTTCTGGACCCTTCGTTTGTTCGGTGTTTGGAAAGATCACGGCGAATTGTCGAAGTGGCTTTAGCATGGTCGCGCGGGCAGGGCTTCCCTGCAGGAAGGTTGTCTTTGTTGTATTGCTCCACAGGTGCATGAACGGAGTTTGTGTGATCGGGTAACCACGGATTGTGTCTGCGTTGCGGCATAATATATCGTGGAATTGCGAAGACGGTGCATTTGCAATACTGATCTGGATTCGCATTTTTGTGCTCGACATGTCTATTGACGTTCGCATGACAGGGACACCTGCGCAATGGAAATAATTGGCTCGCCGTCGCAGCTTTAGATATGTCCTGGTGCAACTCGGGCTGGTGTTTATCCATGTACCTTGGTCTTCGCTTCGACCTCCGTTTGGACTCAAGATCCCAGCCCTGTTAAGCGGAACACAACACCGGGTTGCGAATGTGATCCGGAGCATTGAACATTGAACGCTTGCCAGCTCGGATCCGCTTTTATTCATCTACGCTACAGCATAGGCTGTCAGCACACAACACGTTGCAGCAGGCTCTGGACCGTGCACTCACTGCGGCCGACCTTAGAAGGTTTGGAGCCTATAGACGGTGCCATCTGTCGAATTCTTGATATATGGAGACCTACAGGTTTGAGATATGTGATAGTTGCGCTCCTGCAACTGCTGTGCACTCGGAGGAGATACGTGCCCGGGCCACCGTAGATACGGCGACTTGGGGGAGGACAAGTTATTGATCGGGGATCCCGGAGCCGCCTCGGTTCGGGGAATTGACAATGCATACTGACATCAATGTTGATCGCATCTGGCCAATATTGATCTACCCTCCTCGCGCGCTAGCTGCTTATAACCTCACTAGCAACTCCCCGTGGACTTCGATGCACCTGCTCTCAAAATCTCCCCCGAGATGAAGAACCCGGCCTATATGTGATACCTTCATCGTCGTCCTCTTCGAATCAACCTTACTTGACCGTTGTATCCTCCGAGGCGCTCAGAATGAGCCAAGATCCCTTTGCGAAGGACGTGTAAGTCTCCGTTGTGACTGTGGAGCGGTGATACAGCAGACGGAGACAGACCAATTGATTTGCCTGTGGTTCCAGTAATCTGCACAACTACCTCCACCTCGTGGGCATCAGTAAGTGCACATGTCAGTCGTCGGTCCTGCGCTCAATGAAGTCACAGCTATATTCTATTATGATTATTTGAGGACGTTCGGCGATGAGGTTGAGCGAGTATGGAGACAGCCAAAACCGAGAACGGCGTACTGGTTTTTCCTGAATCGATATCTCACGTTCTTTGGTGTGAGCACGGACGAATTCTGCATGTTGCTATATCATATTTATCAGTGTCCCTCACGCAGGATATCGCAGTGAATGTGGGCAATTTCTATATCTTCAAGACAGTAAAGGTAAGCGCGCTCAGAACGTCGGTCTTCTGAATCTCTCATTATGTTTATCTCGCAGAGGTTCTTATCCCGATTCCCCGCAACTTCTCGATGCTGATTGAATCGCTCAGTTGCAGTCAATATGCATTATATCGAACACTCCTGCTGGTCCTTGCCCAAGTTGTCGTTTGCAGTATGTCAGAGGCACCATGAAGTCGTTCGAAGCTCACCCAATTGATTTTCAGTTATTCTCATGCTGCGCACATGGGCGTTATACCGAAGAGACAAACGTGTGCTGATTCTGATCCTCACGGTAGGCATCAGTCTGCTGGGCCTCACATGCGTGAGTGTCCTGAAATTTCCATACGTTGAGAAGTCTGACACTGTTCTTGAAGTGGGCCGTAGCTGGTGAGAAGAGTCAGATAGACTTGCAGGGCGGCTGTCACACTGGTCTCACCCGGATAACGTGGGTATCTCAGACTCACTTCTCGCTCATCGTCGTATCTGACAATTTGTGCCATCGGCTCGTGTAGAGCAATCCGTAAGACGGTCAGAAAGAATGTATTATCTCACTGACTCTGACAAGTGCACTGTCAGATGTCGCTGTTCCCTGGGAGGCCCTGTTCATTTACGATGTTATGATTTTTTCCTTGACTCTGTACAAGACATTCCAAGAAAGGCCCATGAGCTCGATTCTGCCTGCAAAGTCTGATATTGTGTCGCTCGTTTACCGTGATGGTACGTGCATCTGTGGGGCGTGTCTTCGTGGCTGACGAGCAAACTATCATTTTCAGGTGCAATCTACTTTGCGTGAGTTGCCGTCAAGATATGGCTCTCAAGCTGCCCTACTGAAAGGTTTGCTCTTCAGTGTCATGGCATCTGTGAACCTGGCAAATACAGTGACGTTCTACGTGAGGCTCCTGGCCCTTTAGCTCGTGTATGGCGCTTACGCATTTTCCTAGACATTACAAGTATGATCGATCACCTTCCGGCCAGGCACATTGACATTGACATCGCGTGTACGGTTCGCAGCCCCTCCTCCGCGGAGTCCTGTCTACTTTCGCCAGCAGGTCAGTTGTCTGGCACCGTCCGCTCCAATACACCACTTACCTCCTCCCCTCGCCGCGCACCTCACCTCGCACCTCGCCCTGCAGTGTATCCGTGACGATGATGTCGCACCTCATGCTGAACCTGCACGAGGGCACGCTCAGCAACATCACCGCCCAGCCATCCACAGAGACCTCGACCACGTTCCTGTTCACCTCGCGCTTCACGTCCCGCATGCTCACCGATCTGGACACCTATCCCGACCCCGACGCGCCCCGTCACTCGGACGAGCTGAACCCGCACACCGCGGACATGGAATATGCGCGGGGGCCGGACATGCTGGAGATGTCCGACATCCAGGTCGTGCGCCGTGAGAGCACCGACGAGCACGCTGCATGACTGGGTTACCGCGGAATCGGACATTCATCGTGGATTCGACTGTCACTTGGTCCTGATACTTGAGCGTTGGAAACAGTTGGAGTGGATACCCATGTATTTATTCCCTGTGTATTGGTAGCATCAAGTCCGGATGCACGTACTCTACTTGTAAAATAAACACGGCATTGTAGACTCTATCGCTGCCTCTCGGAGACGTCTGGAGTGCCTAATCGGTACATGTCCTGCATTCCCATCACCATGCTGTGATACAACGTTCACAGTGTACAATCACCAATTCTCACTGGAGTGTGGAGTCCTCAAGAATGCAAAAAATTTGTTCCTGGGGGGAGTCGAGCCCCCGTCTTCACGGTTTCTGCTTCTCAGGAGACCGCCACAACGTGATGATCTAACCACTAATCGACAGGAACTTGTTCAGGACTTGCTTAATGTCCACGATGGTACTCATCGCCCTCGCAGCAGCAAGCTCCGATTCGAGCGAACGTAGTGATAAATGAGCGGCAGGTATACAGCAGTAGCAGTACGCAACGGCAAAACCCAAAAGTGGATTACGTAGTAGATAAGGTCCCGACGCCCGACAGCAGGAAGACATACGCGATGAGAGGGAAGAGGTGAGAGCGAAGTCCGGCAGGCGGACCGACGGAAAACATCCATGATGCATGACCAGGAATCCCAAATCATTTTGTCTGACCATGCAACGTGCACACCGTAAATCAGACGAGCAGCATCCCAACCGCGGCGGCGACGGCAGCCACACCGCCCAAAGCACCCTGGACGGAGACCGCACCGTTAGGCTTGGACGACTGCGACGAGGCGGCGCCAGACGAGGCTCCACTCGCAGTGGGGCTGCCCGTCCCGGATACCGTAGCAGAACCCGCGTCCGTGGGGGTAGCGGAGGTGGGAGGGTATGCCGAGCCTAGAGACTGGATCGAGAAGGGCTGAGAAACCGCGTAAACCTGCACAAATAGCCGTCAGCCGACCATGCGATTTGGACCCACGGGGTGACGGGTCTCGAGTGGAAGAGATAGTGCAACGTTTGTAGAGTAAACAATGCAGAAGGTGAACTCACGTCTGTTTCGTTGAAGGGGTTGGCAAGCTGGATGGTGTAGCCATCCCCGACAGGCATGTTGATCTGGGTCTTTGCAATTGTCTCAGAGCAGTCATAGTTCGGCTGTTGAGAAATGAATGCAAATGGCGCAGAAAGAACAGAAGGGTTTGAATTTGCAATGCTGAGGGACAACACATGCGGTCAGGGAAGGAAATCCTGAATGCAAAAATGAGACAATTTACAGGATCGTGAAGTTGGTGTAGGGGGAAGTGGAGCAGGTCCAGACGAGAGTGTTGTCCGACTGAGCGACTGAATTTGGTGCACAGTAATTCAGCCGCTGTAATGGACATACAGAGTGTGAGACTTACCCCACCACAGGTTCGGTCCACCAGGGCTAAGGATTGTGAGGCCCGGGGTCGACTGAGCAGCTGTGCTGCTCAGAAGAGCAGCGAGGGATGCAAAGAAAGCCGCGCCAGTGAACTTCATCTTGAAAGCTGGGTACAACGAGGGACAGGAAGACAGGGATTGGGTCAGGTCGAAAATGGGGACGAGAAGGTTAGCAACACGCTGGCGAGACCTGATGTGTCGGAGATAAAAAGGTCGCGGCGACGACGTGCCGAGCGGTGGCTGGCTGGATTTGTTGCCGCTGCTCGCACATTCATCTGACTCGGACCTCTTTCGACGTCGTTCACCGCATATCTCTTCGAGTCGTAACGTTAACTCGAGTAGGCGCGGATGGCGTTTACAACGTGGACGCCGGGAAAATCAAGGCTAGGGTCGACTCCACCGCAGCGAGGACCCCAGGTCTCCAACGGTTTATCTCCGCGCGCGCTTTGCCAGGAATCTTGAAGGATCTACAGTCGTTTCTTCACTTCCTTCAGTGTTTCGGATGCGATGGAACCCATACCGGATGAACGGTCACTGGGAGCCTCAGGTTCGAAGGTCAAGCCTTGACACTATCCTTCGCGTTGGCTGAGCAGGTATGTGTGTCCACCTTATCGCGGGTTTACAATGCCGCATAGTTGATGCTGCCGTTCTCCAGTCACAGATATGTCAGGTTTTCCTGCAACTTTGTTTGAATCAAACTATCTGACGGGGACAACAATGCCCGCAAGAAGACAGGCGAGTGGTTTACTAAATGCCATTTTCATAGCAAGAGCCAATCGCACGGGTATCACCATCTATCAGCTACCCATTACAGAATCTTGCATTGAACAACTTGGTCTATGATTCAGGTTTCCTACCTGAGCGATGACCCATTATCTGTCTGACTCTGTCAGGATGGACTCCGGCTTCGACAATTTCTGCAGCGTGAGCTGGGGAATGACACGCAGACCTTACAGTACTTTATCCGGCCCGGTGGTGGTGGAATGTTGTGGCGGGCAACTCATTGATTGACAGCGCCTCCGGCGCCATGAAATCACTACTTTGGCCTCAAGCTTGAAGCATTGCTGTTGTCATGGACCGTGTCTTCCGCAATACACTAATGTCGGAGCTTTCACGTGGTTTCGGTGCTAGTAGTGGCTACGGTGGACACTTCGTGCACGCAGCCTACCAGGACGACTACACGTGTTCGTCTCTTGATAAACTGCACACTGCGGTTGTGAAGGTGAATAACCTTCGTATCTCCTGAGGCGGGCCCCTCCCAAGCGTCATCGTGATCCATCGCGCTGCCGTCCAACGATATCGCCGTCCAACTTTCGTCTGCGAATGGCCGAAAGTCTACGAGTATCGAGAGGATTACAATACGGTCATACGAGTGACGGGACCTCCGATGGTGGACTTGAGGTCCGCCTATCTGCCTATGAACTTCTATCTGCGATAATATACGACGACGACAACGACACCTCTACGCCGCCTGCTGCCCATACAAGCGAATCACTGCGGTCTCCTGCCTTCACACATTTCGATCTACCCGAACCGCATGTCGACGCCAAGAAACACCTCCTAGGTGACCTACTTGTGCAGCCTAAGAGGTGCGTACATGTGTGCAGCCAATGGCAGTTTTGCTAACGGCAGTGATTGATTTGCGGATAGAATTGTGAGAAGGACTACACAAGTTCGACGCAAGATCCCTGAAATATACGATAGAGTTGTCCGGCATCTTTTCCCGCGTTATCGGGCGAAATCCAGGACACCTGAGGTCTCAGAAGCGTCGAGTCTGGAATCCGAGTTCTTGTAAGGAAACCCGCAATTGTATAACTGCACCTCGATGGCTCATAACGTGATATTGTGTTACAGCATAATCCATGTCGATCACGACTGCGTAATTTGTAGGGACACTATTGAAGGCACGCAGATACGCGCCCCCTGCGGACACTACTTCGACCGGGAATGTCTCATAAGCCTTGTGGAAGCCTCCACTCGCGACGAGTCCATGTTTCCTCCTCGGTGCTGTCAACAGCACATTCCTCAATCAACTTTCGAGCCATACATGGCTACCGCTCTTGCGACTATCTACACCGAGAAATCGGATGAATTCAGCACACTCAAACGCGTGTATTGTGCGAACCCATCCTGTAGTCGGTTTCTTGGCCCACGGACCAACAGCATCATCCCTTGCGCTCTGCCTTGCCCGTCATGTTCCGCCACCACTTGCAACCGCTGCAGATCTCGAGTCACGTCGGGCGTCAAGCATAAATGCACGAACAGCCAGAGTCACCGTGAGGTGCTCGCACTAGCCAATAGCAAGGGCTGGGCGCGTTGCCCGACGTGCGGACAGATGATCGAGCTGCGCAGTGGCTGCTACCATATGACATGCGTCTGTGCGACGCAGTTCTGCTACCTCTGCAGGGCGCCCTGGAAAACATGCGAGTGCTCTCAGTGGGAGCGCTTGCCCAGATACGAGTTCGACGCACTGGAGCTCCCCAATTTCCTCGGCATCCACCGTGCATTCACGCGTCGTAGGCGTCCGCCCACACCTCCCCCCGAGCCTCCTCAACCATCCCCTCAACTCCCCGTTCCCGAGCTTCCTGCGCTTTTCTCGCGTATCAGTCGTCCACCATCAGTTGTACATCAGACACCATACTCCCATATTCATGAACGGCCGCTCCCGCGGCCACCAAAAGAACCGCCTGAAGATTCAGAAACACCTTGGGAATGTGGGACGGAGTCCCCGCATGCAGCTTTCGTCCTTGCGCGAGGAGTGCAGGCTCAGGTTCGTCGGCAGGAGCGCAAGCGGACTCTTGGGAGGCGTCGCGGGTGGGGGACGTACATCGAGCGGAGATCGATTGTCTCGCTGGACCCGCTGCTTTCACAACGTTCAAATTCCCTCCGACAATTTGGTTCATGAGCATGGATGGCGGGTCCGTCCACCCTATCTCCGAGCCGATCCTGGTTGTTCACCAAAACGTTGCCTATATCTTCCGACAGTTGTCTCCGGCCGGTCGTGGAACATGATCGTGACATCGGCTTGTGTTTTCAGTGTTCAAACCTATGGAATGCTTGGGCTCCAGACTTATTAATGATTTCACGCCATTTGCAGACATTTAAATACTTTGTACCGTAACGTTGTAACTCATAAGTAGTTGAGATGAAGAATTGGAGGGATGACATGCTCTTTTAGCCGCAGGCTGCGCAAATATTCGGGCGGCATCAGTAATATACGCGTGTGTACCGCAGCGGTATGAACTGCCTTCCGTACCAGCACCTCTCCTCCTTCCAGCAACGACGTCGACGAATCTCTGAAAGACGAATCTCTGAAAGGTGAAATATCATGACACCTCGTTGCGACCTTTCCTTGCAAGCCTAAAGAGTGCTGATTCCTATTTCTCCCATACGTCTAGGGATTCCGAGTATATAAGCCTACTCTCGTTGCCTTTGAACCCGGACCATCGCGACACCCACACAAGGATCCCTCTATGCACACTCCGAACACACCGCTGAATGAAGCGGACCTCAGTGTCAACGGCCTACTCACACGAGCGTCCAACATTCGTCCAGAACAATCTACATCAGATTCACAGAAGGGACGACAGGACGATGACATTGCAGTGGCACTCAGCGGACATGGGAATATTCCGCTAAGGAGAACTGTGTCCGTTGGGCACAGCAGCGGAGACAGGGCGAGGTTATCTAGGGCCTCCTGTCATACCACGGTCTCGAATTCTAGATAAGTTTGCAATTGTTCCCATGTCTACATGGTATCCTGACATCTGGCTTTGTATACGTGGTCAATGGTGCAACAGCGGCTGGGGACAGCGAAGGGGCGGAGACTGTCAAGCTTATCCCCAGCATTGTACGTGTTAACTGCGTCCGCATTCGAGGGTGTGCTGATCCGCTCGCCCAGACCGACGGGGCACGACTGCATCCTATGCAAATACCCCATACACGGGCAGGAGGTCAAGGCCCCTTGTGGAGATT